GGATGGCAGGGAACCTTGCAGATAGGTGGGGACTTTCGTACTTAGAACCTACTAAACCACAATCTATACTGATAAAATCTGCCCAGGTTTGAGTGCCAACATGTTCCTTCATAAGGGTTTTAAAGAGATTAGGTATGCTGCCTATGTGCCCGGGATGGCAGGGAACCTTGCAGATAGGTGGGGACTTTCGTACTTAGAACCTACTAAACCACAATCTATACTGATAAACTCTGCCCAGATTTGAGTGCCAGCACGTTCCTTGATAAGGGTTTTAAAGATCAGATTAGGTATGCTGCCTATGTGCCCGGGATGGCAGGGAACCTTGCAGATAGGTGGGGACTTTCGTACTTAGAACCTGCCAAACCACAATCTATACTGATAAAATCTGCCCAGATTTGAGTGCCAACATGTTCCTTGATAAGGGTTTTAAAGATCAGATTAGGTATGTTGCCTATGTGCCCGGGACGGCAGGGAACCTTGCAGATAGGTGGGGACTTTCGTACTTAGAACCTACCAAACCACAATCTATACTGATAAAAAATGCCCAGGTTTGAGTGCCAACACGTTCCTTGATAAGGCTTTTAAAGATCAGATTAGGTATGTTGCCTATGTGCCCGGGATGGCAGGGAACCTTGCAGATAGGTGGGGACTTTCGTACTTAGAACCTACTAAACCACAATCTATACTGATAAAATAAGCCCAGATTTGAGTGCCAACATGTTCCTTGATAAGGGTTTTAAAGATCAGATTAGGTATGTTGCCTATGTGCCCGGGATGGCAGGGAACCTTGCAGATAGGTGGGGACTTTCGTACTTAGAACCTACTAAACCACAATCTATACTGATACAATCTGCCCCGATTTGAGTGCCAACATGTTCTTTGATAAGGGTTTTAAAGATCAGATTAGATATGTTGCCTATGTGCCCGGGATGGCAGGGAACCTTGCAGATAGGTGGGGACTTTCGTACTTAGAACCTACTAAACCACAATCTATACTGATAAAATATGCCCAGGTTTGAGTGCCAACATGTTCCTTGATAAGGGTTTTAAAGATCAGATTAGGTATGTTGCCTATGTGCCCGGGATGGCAGGGAACCTTGCAGATAGGTGGAGACTTTCGTACTTAGAACCTACTAAACCACAATCTATACTGATAAAATCTGCCCAGATTTGAGTGCCAACATGTTCCTTGATAAGGGTTTTAAAGATCAGATTAGGTATGTTGCCTATGTGCCCAGGATGGCAGGGAACCTTGCAGATAGGTGACTTAGAACCTGCCAAACCACAATCTATACTGATAAAATCTGCCCAGGTTTGAGTGCCAACATGTTCCTTGATAAGGGTTTTAAAGATCAGATTAGGTATGTTGCCTATGTGCCCGGGATGGCAGGGAACCTTGCAGATAGGTGGGAACTTTCGTACTTAGAACCTACTAAACCACAATCTATACTGATAAAATCTGCCCAGGTTTGAGTGCCACCACTTTCCTTGATAAGTGTTTTAACGATCAGATTAGGTATGTTGCCTATGTGCCCGGGATGGCAGGGAACCTTGCAGATAGGTGGGGACTTTCGTACTTAGAACCTACTAAACCACAATCTATACTGATAAAATATGCCCAGGTTTGAGTGCCAACATGTTCCTTGATAAGGGTTTTAAAGATCAGATTAGGTATGTTGCCTATGTGCCCGGGATGGCAGGGAACCTTGCAGATAGGTGGGGACTTTCGTACTTAGAACCTACTAAACCACAATCTATACTGATAAAATCTGCCCAGGTTTGAGTGCCAACACTTTCCTTGATGAGGGTTTTAAAGATCAGATTAGGTATGTTGCCTATGTGCCCGGGATGGCAGGGAACCTTGCAGATAGGTGGGGACTTTCGTACTTAGAACCTGCCAAACCACAATCTATACTGATAAAATCTGCCCAGGTTTGAGTGCCAACATGTTCTTTGATAAGGGTTTTAAAGATCAGATTAGATATGTTGCCTATGTGCCCGGGATGGCAGGGAACCTTGCAGATAGGTGGGGACTTTCGTACTTAGAACCTACTAAACCACAATCTATAAACTGATAAAATCTCTGCCCAGGTTTGAGTGCCAACATGTTCCTTGATAAGGGTTTTAAAATCAGATAGGTATGTTGCCTATGTGCCCGGGAATGGCAGGGAACCTTGCAGATGGTGGGGATCTTTCGTACGTAGAACTACTAAACCCAATCTATACTGTACAATCTGCCCCCGATTGAGTGCCAACAGTTCTTTGATAAGGGTTTTAAAGATCAGATTTCTGCTTGGATAATTTCTGATGAGAATTAATTAAGTAAAAAGGGGTGAATATGTTGCCTATGTGCCCGGGATGGCAGGGAACCTTGCAGATAGGTGGGGACTTTCGTACTTAGAACCTACTAAACCACAATCTATACTGATAAAATATGCCCAGGTTTGAGTGCCAACATGTTCCTTGATAAGGGTTTTAAAGATCAGATTAGGTATGTTGCCTATGTGCCCGGGATGGCAGGGAACCTTGCAGATAGGTGGAGACTTTCGTACTTAGAACCTACTAAACCACAATCTATACTGATAAAATCTGCCCAGATTTGAGTGCCAACATGTTCCTTGATAAGGGTTTTAAAGATCAGATTAGGTATGTTGCCTATGTGCCCAGGATGGCAGGGAACCTTGCAGATAGGTGACTTAGAACCTGCCAAACCACAATCTATACTGATAAAATCTGCCCAGGTTTGAGTGCCAACATGTTCCTTGATAAGGGTTTTAAAGATCAGATTAGGTATGTTGCCTATGTGCCCGGGATGGCAGGGAACCTTGCAGATAGGTGGGAACTTTCGTACTTAGAACCTACTAAACCACAATCTATACTGATAAAATCTGCCCAGGTTTGAGTGCCACCACTTTCCTTGATAAGTGTTTTAACGATCAGATTAGGTATGTTGCCTATGTGCCCGGGATGGCAGGGAACCTTGCAGATAGGTGGGGACTTTCGTACTTAGAACCTACTAAACCACAATCTATACTGATAAAATATGCCCAGGTTTGAGTGCCAACATGTTCCTTGATAAGGGT